AGGTTAATTACCTCAATGCCTAGACGTGTACAGGCTGATATAAAGGTCTGCGGAGGAAACACTAGATATTGATTTATTATCAATGTTTTTCTTAATTTCAGAAAGAAAGGTTTGAATATTCTTGTATTTTTGAGTTTTGGCGTATGTCTCTACAAATATATGATTTTTTTGGATAATCTGTAAAAATTATTTTAATCTAACATATACTTTTACATATATACCTGATTTAAAATTAATATCTTCAAACGTTTTATTTTTTCAGCAAATAATACCCATTTTTTTGCACCTGAGCGTAGTTATGGAAGAAATTAGTAAAACGATTTTCATAGATTATTGGCTCTTGAATTGGAACGAGCGCCGCATTTTCATTAAGCAATTAGTTGACAACAGAAATGTATCATGTAGAAAACTAAAATCAAAAAATGTACGGCGAAAGGGTAATAAACGATAGTATAAAGTCTTTATACTATCATTTAAAAGTTGGTCAGTCAAGAAAGAATTTGTGTATGCAAATATTCCTAATATGGGCGGTTTTAAACTGGGTAACAACTCAATCTGGCAAGATGAGAGAAAAACTGCACACAGAGAAAAGGACAATGGAGTGTGATTCAATTCATATTGTTATAAAAAAAAAAATAAGACAGAAATATGCCTTACAGCAAGACTCAATCAAGTTCGCTACCTGGATCACCAGTTTTTTAAATGTACAGTGAATTGAATTTTATACTCCGATCTGACGGGGAAATAAAAAAGCAATCCTGTGGTAACTGATTTGAGATGCATTCAATATAAGCCTGAAGGCAGGGTGAAGTATAAATTAAAGTTTTCAGATGATTTTTAAAATCTTCCATCATCATCATTCTGGCTTTACAACCCTGCGTAGGTCCTAGCCTCCTCAAGAAATTTTTTTCCACTTGTCCCTATCCATCGCCTTTCTCCGCCCAGTATGTATTCCCATATTTCTCATGTCTTCATCAATGTTTTCAAATAACCTTGTTCTGGGCCATCCTCTTCTTTTCTGACCAATGGGTCTATCAAGGAGCGTTTTTTTAGCTGGGTCATTTTGTTCCATCCGCATTACATACCCTATCCACCTCAGAGGTCCTATCTTAATATGTATTATGATATTAGGTTCCTCGTATATTCTATAAAGTTCGAAATTATATCGTCTTCTCCACACTCCATTGTCATTTGCTGTTCTTTCAAAACATACTAACATGTTTTCATTATTTTTGTTAGAGTCCAGGTCTCTGAACCATATGTTAAGACTGGGTGTATTATTGTTATGTAGAGTCTTATTTTTGCATTTCTCGATATAATTGTGGATTTAAGGAGAAGATTGAGCCCAAAATAGCATCTGTTGGCTGTGCAAATTTTGCGGTTTATCACTGCTTCGATGAGGTTGTTTTCTATAACGAGTGGTCGTAGGATTTGTGGTTGCTTGCTTATTTTCATATACTTCGTTTTGTTGGTGTTTATTATTAAACCCATTTTTGTAGCTGATTCTTTTAATACTACATACGCCTCTTGTACAGCATTTTCCGTTCTACCAACAATATTAATATAATCGGCATAGGCCAGGATTTGCACAGATTTATTATACATTGAACCAGTGGTTGTGATTTGTGACATACATATTACTTTTTTCAAAGCCAGATTGAACACCATACAGGAGAGAGGGTCTCCCTGACACAGCCCATTATTTGTTTTAAAAGGTTCAGACAGTGCCCCCTGAATTCATACTCTACATTCAACTTTTTCAAGAGTTAGGTTTGTTAAATTTACCAACTGATTTGGTATTCCTAGATCTTTCATTGATTTGAACATTTCTCTTCTATTCACAGAGTCATAGGCTGCTTTGTAGTTTATGAATATGTGATAAGTATCAATGCCATATTCCAGAGTTTTTTCCAAAATTTGTTTCAGAGTTGCAATCTGATGAATTCTAGATTTACCACCTCTGAAACCAGCCTGGTATTTTCCTACTATCTGTTCTGCATATGGTGCCATACAGTGACATAGTACTGTGGAAAATATTTTATATGCTGCATTTAGATGCGTAATTCCTCTGTGGTTAGAGCATTCAAAGATCTCTTTTTTGTGTATGGAGCAAACTATTCCAATATTCCAATTTTTGGGGAGGGATTTCTGTGTCCATATTTCTTCAAGAATCATTAGTGGTTCCTCTTCCCTTTCATCTGCTCCCCTTACCTTATCTCTTTCATCTACCAGGTTTCCATGACGAAGCAGTATAGGCACTATCATTAATACCTTGAGTTTGTTTTCAATCCGACGTCGGCCGACGTCGCCCGATATGGGATCGGGAGAAATACGGTTCCAATGTAGGTGTACACTAAGGCAAAAATATATGCAGCAAAATTTTTAATGTGTTGAAATAATTACAGTATACTTCCTCTATAAGGAACACTGTTATTATGAGATTTTGCTTATAACAAGGTACATTAGATGCCCCGTGAAATTTTTATTGAACTAGAACCGTCTATAGCGAGGTAAATTTGCTTATAACAAGAAAAAATAAGATTGAAAAATGTGTTTTTTTACATTTTGCCCGGCCATAGCTATAAATAAATACCCTTTTTAAATGTATACCCAAAATACCCAAGTAAACTTCTTACAATTTATGATTCTTAGTCAGAAATTTACAATTTATGATTCACAAGTGTCATTGTAGGGGGTTGACCATTCACACCTAATAATATAGGTCCTAATAGACAAGATGTGAAAAGTGTTTTAAAGGTTGTCAGAAACTTTATCCAAAGACAAAACACAAATGAAGAAGCATAAAACTGTTTCATATCTTTTCAATTGCAGAAGCAGTAGTTTATGTTATTCTTGAAAATATGCTTTATACAGATTTACAGAATACAGATTTTTTGTTTTAACATATATCATTGACAATAAAAGTAAACAACTTTTTTTCAAAAAACGCCATTAAAACAATATTTATTAGCATCTTATATTGCTCCGAATGGCTTCACTATAGGAAGTTAATGTTTTAAACTACATATTTATATGTATGCACAGTATTATTGTTGTTGGATATAACGAGATCCACTTATAATGAGGTAATTAGTCTGCCATTTCAGTTCTCGTTATAGAGGGAGTCTACTGTATATTAGTGTTTGTATTATATTTTTTTTCTAGTTTAACCCACATAGCCTTCACTCAGGGTCTATAATTGTATATTTAGCATTTTTATAAGTGGCATTATTTATACTTTCATGGAATAAATAAATAAATAATATTTAAGTGTTACGGTGAAATCTCACAAGAATCATTAATATACATGTATTAAACTTTTCTTTACATAATTTAATTTATTTGTGCTGCATCAGATTGTATAATTAACAGCGATATTAAACCACCAGTTCGATTTCTTTGACAATTACTTAATGAAATTTTGGTGCATTCCGACATAAATTTTACTTATGTCAAAGATAAGTAACCACAACACAATTTGATGTGCAATTCCCGTGCTTTTTTTGGTTTTTTCACAATAAAATCTTTATTTTTAGGGTATAATATTTATTTTATAATAATAATAATAATAATAATTTATATAATAATTTATAATATAAAGGTATAATATTTACAATATTCAAAGCATTTATTTTTTACAGTTTATAACTTTGAATTAAAAATAGGTTTGTTCCAACACAACGAAAAACCGTCAAATAAATTTTTATTATACTGTTTTTCTGCCCAAAAATTAACGAAATATTTTTTAAAAATTTCAAAATTTTTCAACCAAAAATTTAATTTTCCACTTTTTGGACAATTTTCCACTATTCTGCAAAAAAACAGTGTTGTGTTTTACATTTTATGTTATTTTATATTAAAAACAAAGAAGAAGAAATTATTAAATTTAGAAAATTTGGAAATATTTAATTCCGGTGATTGATGACTTTATTAATTGAATTAATTTTATTTATAGTTAATAAGAAGAGAGTTTTAAGTATATTATTTGTAGATTTGTACATATTTAAATTAAAAATTTGAATCATAATATTTTTTCTAATAGGATTCATTTATTAAAGGTTAAAATATTATTTTCTTTAAAAAATGTTATGCAAAAATTTAATCCTATTCTACGGCCATGCAGCATCTACATAAAAATATCTGTTGCATTTGTTGCCCCACTCTTTCATATTTTAAAAGCAATAATAGCGCCGACATGACCGCTTCCTACTGGTAATAAAATCTCGATCCACTCTCTCATTCTTTTTCATAACGTGCGATCATCTTTTGCAAACTTTCAAAAATAACAGTGAAAGATTCTTCTATAAGAGTCTATATTCTTTGCTTGTATATTAACACAACATTCATCATAAAAGAAATCAAACTATACAAGTGGTGTTCTTGCCACAATAGTACAGTAGCAAAACAGTATAGTATTCTATTACAAGAAACATAATAGGGCTATTTCTGGGAACTACTACATATTTGCTGTTTTTACAAAGTTCAAATGTAAGTTTAAGTTTGTTAGTTTCATCTGTAATGATTATATTCAGCATAAAGTAGTAACAAATACACCACAGGAGAATGATCCATAATTAAAAAATTGGCCATGTAAGAGAAATTTTTAAAAAAAGGACATATTTCTTGTTTTTGATTTAAAAAAATATTAACTGATGTATATAAGATCTAAGATAGATAATATTCAATAGAAAATGTTCAATTAGTTTTTTTCATTATAGGTTCATTTGGGATTTTTGGTTTGTTTGGATTAAAAAAAAATAATTTACACAACTAATAAGTATATAAATTTTAAATTATGGACATTTCTCTCTGATAGCATAATGAATTATTTGCTGTCGAAACAAATATTTTCACCATACACTAAAACTAGGATGGGGAAAAAAAAGCAAATGTCCAGTACTTATATTATTAACAGCTAATAAAATATATTAAATTATTAATAGCATATAAATAGAACTATATATGTTTCATGTAAATTTAATTTAAAATAAAAGTCTTACCTAGAGCAGCTTCACAGGCTCTTTTCAGTTGGGAATGGTAGGATCTTTTGATTTCTTTATCATTCAAGATTTTTTCTAGCGCTCGCAAAATAAACATCTCCTTAGTTTTTAAATTAGATTGCATTTTATAGACCGTTATTTACCTTAATATTGAAGAACCCACAAACTATCCAAGGGGTTCATTGTGGTAATGACGTGTAGAAATATGAAAAATATGTTTTGATTTGCAAAATCCTAAGAAAATATTTACAAAGGTATTAACATTTAACCGAGGCAAAAAAGGGATCATGTATCACACGTAAGCACACACTATTATAATTAATTATTAATATAATTGTATATTTTAATTTTTGATAAAAGTTCTGTCAACATTGAACATTTTCACATTTACGTTTTGACATTTGTTATGATGACAGTTGTATTGACGGACCACCGACACGTGACGAAATAGGTGTGTTCAGAACGTAGAGGTTTTGGCAAAAAGTAGGTTTTAATTATATTTAATTTGTTATTTGTGAACACTAAAGGCCAGTATTTTATGTCCTGATTAAAAACCGGTTAGAAGAATTTTGATAGGGCCAGTTGTTGAATCAATAGTTAACTTATGGATTAAGTAAACCATGATTAAATTGAATACAAAGATTTTTTTTTAAATTATTCAATGGAAGTATTTTTTTACTGAAGTAGTAGAAATGTTGCCAATTGTTAATTAATACCTTGGAAAAAGCTTGGAACAGAGATCTCTGCCTTGGAATGGCTTGGAACAATTTTTTGTCATGAAAATTATAGTGAAAAATATGTTCTGTGGTATAAACTAGAGATGTGCTAATCGGTGATTTCTTTGGAGCAGTTAAAAAATGTGATTGCTCCGCCTACGTCACTGTGACAAACCCATCGAGCAAAAAGATAAATGTAAAGGTAAAATATAGTATATATATATACTATATATAGTATTATAGTCGGGGCAAAAATATTGTTAGACAGGAAGTGTGATCTTTAGAGGCTACATTAAACAAGGAAAGAGAGTATCTCTCCTTGTTTGACATCAAATTTAGTTGGGTTATGTTATTGTTTGTCCCAAATGTCACATGAAATTTTATTTATATTGAAGTTTTTTAACAATTGTGCCGCATTTTAGACTATTATCGTTAATAATTAATTAAAACTTTCTCGTCTAAGACACATTCTGAAAAATATTATATAGCTACTGTTAATAAGTGGCGGAAAATTTAAATTTGGCGGATTCGCATTTCCGGATATGTCCGCCATCAGAGGCCACTTTTTTGGTCTCCTTTTCATAAGGATTAGATTCCCTCTTTTGTCTTATTGCTCGATGGACAAACCCATCGAGCAAAAAGACAAAAGATGGAATGTAAAGGTAGTGGGGGCAAACATATTGTTAGACAGGAAGTGCGATCTTTAGAGGCCACATTAAACAAGGAAAGAGAGTCTCTCTCCTTGTTTGACATCAAATTTAGTTGGGTTATGTTATTGTTTGTCCCAAATGCATCGAGCAAAAAAACAAAAGAGGGAATCTAATCCTTATGAAAGGGTGACCAAAAAAGTGGCCTCTGATGGCGGACATATTCGGAAATGCGAATGCGCCAAATTTAAATTTTCCGACACTTATTAACAGTAGCTATATAATATTTTTCAGAATGTGTCTTAGACGAGAAAGTTTTAATTAATCATTAACGATAATAGTCTAAAATGCGACACAATTGTTAAAAAACTTCAATATAAATAAGATTTCATGTGACATTTGGGACAAAAAATAACATAACCCAACTAAATTTGATGTCAAACAAGGATAGGGAGACTCTCTTTCCTTGTTTAATGTGGCCTCTAAAGATCGCACTTCTTGTCTAACGATATTTTTGCCCCCACTACCTTTACATTCCCTCTTTTGTCTTTTTGCTCGATGCCCAAATGTCACATGAAATCTTATTTATATTGAAGTGTTTTAACAATTGTGTCGCATTTTAGACAATTATCGTCTAAGACACATTCTGAAAAATATTATATAGCTACTGTTAATAAGTGTCGGAAAATTTAAATTTGGCCCATTTGCATTTCCGGATATGTCCCCCATCAGAGGCCGCTTTTTTGGTCTCCTTTTCATAAGGATTAGATTCCCTCTTTTGTCTTTTTGCTCGATGGACAAACCCATCAAGCAAGACAAACCACAGTAATTTTCCGGAGCAGTTCATTTGGTTCTATAACCACAGAATAAATAACAATCAGAATTCCCACTCTCAGATGTCGCCTTTGAAGTTTGTCAGCACGCGATCGCCATATTTTAGACGGAAACATAGATTAGAATCATCGAGTTAGAATCTAATTAGAACTGAGAAATTTGTGACATGCTACGACAGAACCACAGAATAATAAACAATCATGTTTTAAAGTTAAAACCATATAAAATGTCAATGAACAGCACAGCAGCGGGACTCCGTGCCACATAGAATTCTATCGTAGAATTCTATTGTCGTTTTCTATCTACAACGGCGATAGTATCGTGTATTGGCACTCCGTGCGTATGTCGTTTCGCTTCGGTATTTTCCGATCTCTCTATTATTGAATGTAAAAACATTAACCTGTTGGTTTTACTCAAATATCGCATTTATTGTCTATTATCTTTGTTTGTAACAGATTGTAGAGAAAGAAAGTACTATTTTTGGGGTGACTTTTTTAGGAGCGATTAATTACAGGGACCCGGTCCGTCAACTGCGCATGTGCGAAACGACTGCATTCGAAATATTTCGAACCTTCAAATGAAAATGTTAAGCGATATCTTGCCTTTTCGAATAAAAATTGTTTTGAATAGTTCCCTATTTACGTAATTAGTAAATATGTTAGTGAACTGTTTTGAATGTGGTAAAATTTTCTCAGATCAGTCTAAGGTTTATACGCCGATGCAATGTGGAGAAAATGTGCGTTTAAATAAGTGTCTGGAAGATTTCCAGTAACTTTTTTTTTCAAACCGAAAGGGCTTCTACATTAATGAAGTTTATTTTACAAAAATTATGAAAGTTGTTGGAAAATACAAACACTCTGTTTTATGTCCGACATTAAGCTATTTTAAACACGTTTTAGAACGAGACAACTTTTGAAAACATCCACCTGAAGACAACGATTTTGCCAACCCATACAAGATTAACCGTAATATGTCATTTAAATTTAGTTCATTAATAATTTGTTTACTTTCAACAACAGTTAATAAATTTAAGTTTATTTTGATACTTATATAATAATTTATTATAATCCTTATCTTCACTCATAAACGTGTGTTACGTTAAATATTTTAAACTATCTGGTGCAAAGTTAACAATTTTCATAAGCTACTACAACAAAATAAACAATCTTCGACGTTTAATATCAAAGTCGTCAATATACATGTGATTTTCTTTCTTATTACTCAGAGTACAAGTTATTTATTCTTTATATTTTAGTTATGAATGTAACAACTATGTACCTGTAGAAATAAATATTGTAAAATTTCCTATTTTTACTCCTAATCGTTTTTATAAACTTGCTCAGATTTTTTTAGGTTGGAGATTGTCCATCGTTGTCACTTTTGATGTCATTTCAAATATTTGCACATGCGCAGTTGACGGATCGGGTCCCTGTAATTAATCGCTCCTGACTTTTTTGCGAGGACCCGGTAGAAGGAGAATATCATGGCTGCGGAATTTAAGAACATGGTTTAAGAAAACCTCAACGGAGCTGTTTCGAGCCGCAGCGAGCAAGGTTATGATTGCCAATATGATTTCCAACATCCGAAACGGATAGGAACTAGAAGAAGAAGAAGAAGACTTTTTGGTTTCGGTTTATTACGCGGGTCATTTGCATGCTGCTGTTTGTTTTTGTTATTTAAAGTCATTTTTAAAGAGCTTCGTCTTCGTTATATTTTTGGATAAAAATGAGGGCCCGAATGGAACATTGGGAAATGTTGCTTTCATTTTGCGAAGAATATCCAAAATTAATAACAAATAAATTTAATGGAAGTGAGGGACGAACTAAAGGAATAGCTGTGTGGCAAACTGTTATCACAAAATTAAACAGTTTAGGATATGGCCAAAAAATCATAGGGGGTGGAGATCCAAAGACTTTCAGCAGAGGAGGAATGGCTACCGAATTATTTGTGTGTACCATATTGGGTGCAATTTGATTATAAACATATTGTGCCATCTCCTTATTCAACCTAAAGAGTTCTTTAAATCGAATATCTTCTATAGCGAAAGGATTGCTTTCATCTCGCATTTGGCGCCTTGTTAACTCTTCGATACGAATTTGCTCTAACCGCTCCTCATTTTCCCCTGCTAGTATGTTTATTATATTAATAGGTAACATGCCTACACTATTTCCACGATCTCAGCAAAATAAAATAAACTCTTACGTAAAAACCAAAAACAGTTAGAATGTACACATAACCTTAATCTCCAAAATAAAAATAAATAAATTTACTGTCAATTTGCTTTTGGAATATAATACGCTTGCGCTATATAGAATTCGATAGGTCTCTGGAGATAGAAACGAAACGACCAAAGTCCAAAATAATAGCATTCATGCGACAATGCGGATGTACGGAGTGCCAACGTTGTAGAATCTTCTCTATATGTAGAATACTACATGGCACAGAGTCCCACTGCAGGTTTCGTTTAAAATTTAAACGGAACGAGTGCTGTTCAGTAACATTTTATCTGGTATGCATAGACAAATTAACCCGGATTAATTTATTTACGGCAACTACAGACATAATATGCAATATTTTATTTGTACTTTTAGTTGAAGATTATTAATCTATAAAAATTTAAATGACAGTTTTGTCGTAGTTTGTCACAAATTTCTCAATTCGAGTTTATGTTTCCGTCTAAAACATGGCGTTCGCGTGCTGACAAACTTTAAAGGCGGCATCTGAGAGTAGGCATTCTGATTGTTTATTATTCTGTGACAGAACTGTAATTTAAATTTTTATAAATTCATAACCTAGCGCATTTGAAATAATTAAATCTATTCTTCAACTAAAAGTACGAATAAAATAGTGCATATTATGTCCATGGTTGCCGTAAATAAATTATACCGGTTTATTTTTCTCTGCACAATAGATAAAATGTCACTGAACTTTGTCACCAAGCACCTATTGAGACTTACGGCCAAACCTACCGTTTGTACTGCATTCCATTCGTTCATTGTTGTGTAGTGTGTAAAGTAACTAACTGTACGCCGCATAAAAGAATTTTTGTGTACACACGTCGATCTCCAAAGGGGAAAACAATACCATCATGGCTAGCACAATTCTTGCATGTTTTAATGAAAAAGTTTGATCGAAAGAACAAATACCAGCCTATCGTAGACTAAGTCAAGGTAATAGAGGCAAACGTGAATACTCTTTT